CACTGCAGCCTCCGCAGACCCGTGTTCCCGAGGCGACTCTTGGACAGCTGCACCGCCTCGCTGACAGCCTCCATGCTCTGCTGCTGATTCAGGTGCTGGCTCATTCGTCGCTTCCGGTGATTCCTCCTGAGACCTTCCTTTCTCTCCAGCGTGACCCTTGCTTGGACGCGGCAGACCAGCTCGCAGTGCTGCTGGCGCCCGTGCTGGCTGCGCCCGCGGAGGGAGGCGCTGCTGCTGCGGGACAGCTCGACGAAGCTGTCCGGGGCCTGAGGCGGCACTTGCGCGCTGGATCTGGAGCCGCGGCGATCGGCGCAAGCACGCTTGTGGTCCGGGAGCTGTGGCGCTCCCTGACGGGCGTTCTTCACGCCCTTGGAGCTCACCGCATGTAGATGCGGGCTCCGCTTCTACTTGTGTCGCCATTGCTGCTTAGGATGTTGTTGATGCCGCCATTGTTTGTATGCCGTTTGCTTAACCTCGGTTGTGTTCGTGTTCCTTGCCGTCCCCTCACGCGCGGCCGAAGGCCGCGCTGTCGAGCGTCGGCCGCCGAAGGCGGCCGACGCGAGCCGTAGGGTTAGAAGGAATGAACCCACGAAATGAATAATGAGACAAGCACCAGGCCCACGGCCTTATATAGCGGAGCTAGGGGCGGCTGAGAGGCTGAGAGGCTAAGGGACTAGGGGTCTATGCCTCTCTCTCTCTCTCTCTGTCGTCTCTCTCTCTCTCTCTCTCTCTCTCTCTCTCTCTCGCTCTCTCGAACGAGCGCAAAAATCTCAGCCGCTGGGTTAGAAGGAATGAACCCACGAAATGAATAATGAGACAAGCACCAGGCCCACGGCCTTATATAGCGGAGCTAGGGGCGGCTGAGAGGCTGAGAGGCTAAGGGACTAGGGGTCTATGCCTCTCTCTCTCTCTCTCTCTCTCTCTCTCTCTCTCTCTCTCTCTCTCTCTCTCTCTCTCTCTCTCTCTCTCTCTCTCTCTCTCGCTCTCTCGAACGAGCGCAAAAATCTCAGCCGCTGGGTTAGAAGGAATGAACCCACGAAATGAATAATGAGACAAGCACCAGGCCCACGACCTTATATAGCGGAGCTAGGGGCGGCTGAGAGGCTGAGAGGCTAAGGGACTAGGGGTCTATGCCTCTCTCTCTCTCTCTCTCTCTCTCTCTCTCTCTCTCTCTCTCTCTCTCTCTCTCTCTCTCTCTCTCTCGCTCTCTCGAACGAGCGCAAAAATCTCAGCCGCTGGGTTAGAAGGAATGAACCCACGAAATGAATAATGAGACAAGCACCAGGCCCACGGCCTTATATAGCGGAGCTAGGGGCGGCTGAGAGGCTGAGAGGCTAAGGGACTAGGGGTCTATGCCTCTCTCTCTCTCTCTCTCTCTCTCTCTCTCTCTCTCTCTCTCTCTCTCTCTCTCTCTCTCTCCCTCTCTCTCTTTCTCTCTCTCTCTCTCTCAAGCGGTCATGCATTTAAATGGGTCACAAGGTACAGGCAGGGCAGGTGGTGGTAACTAGGTAGCCTAGGTATTGGAGCAGCCAGGGGGCCAAAACTAAACAAGCAAACAGGGCAAGCCCATCCAACCTAGAGCACCCCTAACTGTCAGAGCAGCCCGATCCCCAGTGGCTCAAGACCATGGGAACCGTGTTTCTTCCGCTATTCCCCTCCCGTACCACACAGCCTCCCCTTATCCCCCTCCGACCCGCTGATTCCTCGCACCTTCCTTAAGACGCCCTTCCTTATCCCTGTTCCCTCTGACCCACACTAACCCAGCACACCCCCCTCTGCTTCTCACCGCACCCATGTACCCCTCCCCTGCCGCCACCCCTCCTCCTCCTGTCACCATGTTCCTCTCTCCCTGGCACCCTCAACCCCTCAGGCCGCCCTGACAGGGGCGTGTCTCTCATCGTACTCGTCCTCCAAGGTCTGCCATAGGTCACCTAGCCGAGGTGCCCAAGGGTCCGCCGCTGCCTGTGGGAAAGCCGCTTCCACTGCACGGTTTGACTTGGAAAGGATGGAGATCGCATGGCTGCGCCGGAGCACCACGGACCACCGTTGCCTGAAGTGTGCATTGAGTCGGGCGGCGGTCGTCGTGAGGCGTCCCTTCCTGTATTTCGTCTTGGCGGCATGGGTGGCTAGCATACGGATGAACTGCTGCGTGTCCTTAGCCAGAGCCCCATACGTCTCTACCGTCAGCCCAAAAAACCCAGCGTAGCTAGGGCGGCCCTCGTAGAGCCTGTGCTTTCCCTCGGAAGCTTCCTCCGCTGCCCACCCAGGCGGCTTCCTGGCTCTCTTGTCCCGCCTCTGCAACACCGGATCCGTGACCGTGACATCCGTCACCCACGTTTCCCCTGACTCCTGGTCTCGGATGGCCAGGTCTGCACGCTTTCGGAGGACGGGGGGAGAGAAAGCCGTGGTCTCATGGAACGTTTTGTAACCCGCGTCCCTGGCCATCCTGAGAGCCGCGAAAACCAGGGCGTGGTGGGTCCTTACGACGTCCCCGCCATCCCCACACCGCAGGAGGTGATTGGGGAGGCTCTTATCGGCAATCGTCGCGTTTTCCCGCTTGCACGGACACACCTCGGCGACCGGCAGCTCCATGCCCAGCCGCAGGCCCAAGGCCATCGAGAATTGACCAGGGGATAAGCTAAGGTCTCCTCTCGTTGGGATGGCATGGAGCCAGTCACCCGCACCCACCCCCTTGAGGCTGATGAGGCGGATGGCGTGGCCCCTGTCCTCCCCCGGCCGGTCCTGAAGTGTGTCTGCTAGGAGTTCCGACGCCCGCCGCTGGTTGATAGACTTGGACAGCCCCAGCTGCAGGTTCCCAGTGCCCAGACCCCCTGCCCTGTACTGCTCTAGTGTTGCTCGGGCTTCAGCAGGGAGGTTACCCTCCATCGTGGCTCTGGGGTTGGTCTCAGGTGGTAGTGGGGCCCACTCGTGGGAGAGGAGCTGTGTCGCCCGGCTCAGGAGGCAGTCCGTTGGCAGGTTCAGCTGCCTCAGTAGGATGTGTGCCGCCGTGACTGAAGCCAGGTATGCCGCGGGTGCCTCAGAGATAGGGTCGATCACCCCGAGGCCACCCAGGCGGATGGGGAGTGTCCCCTGACGCCACAGCAGGCTCTGCTCAAGCTCGGAGGTGGGGATCCGTAGTTTCGCCGCGGTGAGCGCCGAGCCCAGGAGAGCCTCACTCCACTCCCTCCATTCTCGCGCACTTAGTGTTGAAGCCGGGGTCGTCCGGAGCATGTACGAGATCCGCCGTGAGATGCTGCGTGAGACCATAAGGAGCGCGTGCTGCGGGTTCAGTTGTGAAATGAGGAGGAGCGGTGATGCCGCCTCCCCCAGCGCCGCCCGTACGTGGTCCGTGCAGAAGGCGTCAGTCCCAACTGGGCTGCCCAACACCTTGATTCCTCCCGGGTTCGAGGTCAGCCCAAGCGGCAACTTCTCCTGCTGCTCGCTCGCGTTCCTCCCCCAGGCCGTTGATTTGGCAATGTTGCATCGCAGTCCTGCTTTTCCCAAAGCCGCAGCGATCGTGTCGAAGGCGAGGCAGGCGGCTTCACGCGGGCCGACAATCGTAATGTCGTCGGCGTAGGCAACGATTGCCACATCCGGCAGAGTAGTGGCCACACTCAGCAGTGCTGGCTGGATCGCCGCCGCGAACAGGAGCGGGCCGAGTGGATCGCCTTGGCGAACTCCGCGGGAGCTCAAGATGTACTCAGTGTCAAAACGCTGGTCGACCAGGAGCCTCGACGGGCCGTCGTAGAGGTTTCGGACCAGGGGGAGTAGGGGGTTGAGGTTAGACCATTGCAGCGCCTTGAAGAAAGCCCTGCGTTCGACGCTGTTGAACGCGTTCTCTACGTCCAGCTGCAGCGCGATCCGCGAGACGTCCTCCTGTAGTAGCGCTCTAACCGAGTGTATGATGCACTCCGCTCCCCCCGGGATGGCCACGCCGAATTGGACCGGGAGAAAGAACTCACGGATATTGGGGCCGAGCGAGTGTAGAGCTACTTTCGCTACTACTCTGAGCAATGTTTCGCCAATCGCGATAGGCCTGACCCCACCCCCCGGTTTCTCCAAAGCTATCAGGCGTGAGGATAGGGCAAGGTCGCGCAGCTCCTGTGACTGGTAAGTGCTAAGGAAATTGTTAACTGTCTTGGCGAGTAGAATTAATATCTCCTCATTTGCGAGAGCAGGATCTCTGAGGTGCTCGAAGCACGTTCCAGAGGGCCCCCCACCCACCCCATTCGGGCACTTCGCCAGGATTTCGCGAAGTGCGTCGATCTGGATGGCGAGCTCAGAAGTTGCTACCCCTGTTACCCAGGCTGGGAGATCGTCTTCGGCATGTGGGTGTTTCGCCCGGAGTGCAGCGAGGGTTGCCGAACTGGGTTCCGCGAGTGGGCTGGTGTGTAACGCAGCAACCGCCTTCGAGATATTGCCCTTTTTCATTAGCCCTTCGGCACGTGCACAAACACCTTCGTCGTCCGGTTGGTGTCGTAGCGGGGCTTCGGCATCGGGGATAATGCTAGCTTCCTCGAAAAGTCCCTCCCATTTCCCCTGCTGAAATTGGTGCAGCCGAGCCTCAATTCGAGCCCAGCGGCTCCCAACAACTGGTTCGGGAGAGGGTCGTAGTGTAAGCCTCGGTAGGAAGAGAAGAATCTTCCACGCACCTAGGCACGAGGGGAACTTCTCCAGCCTCAGAAGTGGCGCCAGCAGACAGAGGCTGTATTTGTCTAGGATTTGTGGAGGTAGGCGACGGACAAGGAAGGGCTGGTCACTACGTTGCAGTTGCTGCATATCCCAACCCCCAGCTTCTTGCCAGATGGCCTCGTCCTTCGCCATGTCCGTAGGCGAGAAGACATCTGTCGCATCCGTTGCTCCACATGTATCTCCCACAGCTTGTTGGTTCTGCCCATCCCCCCTCGACCCTCTTCCCGTGTGTTGGGTGCATTCCTGTCCACCCCAGTTTCCTCCTCCAGGGACACCTCCTCAGATTCAGCTTCGTCCCCACACATAAATTATGGGTCGCCACCGTTGTCCTCAGAGCCCGCTGCGTCCTCCTCATTCGTTGGTGCTGCCCCCGCCTCTGGTCTGTCGTGGCGTTCCTGCCAGGTGCCAACTCGCACAGGGATCTCAGATCCCCCTACCAGGGCCCTTCCCCCTCGCCCTCCACGCGCTCCCCGTGCACCGCCCCCCCCGTTGAGTCCTCCCTGCGCTTGTTTGCGCTCTTGCCACTACGCCCGTAGCTCCACGTCCCGCCGGCAGCCATGGTGTCCGACCTCCCCGGGGCGGTCCCCAGGTTATTGCCGCTCGTCGCGTCGCGTGGCGGGTGTTGTGTGCAACGGCATTCGTGGTGTTTGGAGCCTCAGCGTGCACTGCCGTTGCTGGTGTAACGTTGGGGGCGGAAGCGTCCCGGGAGAGTCCGGGCGGGCGACTTCCAGCCTCAGCCTCCTCCCGCACCTCTTGCTGGCTCACCGATGACGACCGATGCGCTCGCTCAGATGGCGGTTGCCCTTGCAGAAGCCAGCCCAGGAGGGGTCCCGGGGAGCCAGGTTCCAGCCCTGCTCCGGGCCGTCTCGGCGCTGGCTGGGCACGCGGCTTCTTCTTCGAAACCGCCCGTGCGGCGCCGGCAGAGGCTCCGTTCGCAGGTCCCAGAAACTCACCCTCCACCTGGCCGCGCTCCTACCTGTTTGCGGCCGCGGCAGGTACACGCGTTCTGGCGTTCGCAGCGACAGGCATCGCGTCAACCTCCGACGGGGCTGCGCCCTGCTCCCCAGCCGCAGCAGACACCACTGCCGCCAGCACAGCCACCGTTACAGGCGCCGGTGACGCCGACAACACCGCCTCCGCGGTCTGCTCCTGATCCACGCCCGGGCTTGGCTCCTCCGCCTCCTTCTGTGCCACCTGTGGGGCGGCAGCGTGTGAAGTTGAGCCGCCGCCAACGGCAGCGGCAGAACCGCCGGCAAACACAGGGTCCGCCACCGTCTCAGCTGCAGTCGCAGCAGCAGTAGCATCTCCCTCAAGCACCAATCCACCCGCCCTCCTGGGAACCACAGCGACCCCCAGCACAGTCCCCACTGCGGCGTTTTCCCCTACCCTTCCAACCGCTACCGCCTCGTTCCCCAATGCCCCAAGTTCCCCCGTCACACTTCCCGCACGCCCCGAGCCCGCCTCCTCCCCCTGCCTTGGTTCTTGGCGCGCCCCCAACTCGCGTCGAGCAGCGCGTGATGCACGTTGGGACGTGCATGACACTCCTGTCATATGTGCTCGACCAGCTGCATGTGACACTGATGCAGCAGGAGGTGCAGATCGAGGCGATGCAGCCGGCGGAGCAGTCGGCGGCGGTGGCGGTGGCGGAGGAGCTGCAGCATTACCTCCCCCTGATTGGCTATGTGCCGGGCTCTCCTGGGGCTGCCCTCGGGCCCGGCCCTGGAGCTTTGGCGCGGCTTGCTGCTTCAGCCCGGGGCGACCCGCTCGACCTTGTTGCGGCAGCCGCGTCCGTCTTGCGCTGGCTAGACGGGAGGCTGTGTTGGATCCTCGTTGAGTAGCGGTAGACTTCCCCTTGCCAGGCCCCTTTGTAGCAGGTCTGGGTTTGGGCTTCCCCATGGCGGTGTGCTCACGCCCGGGGGTGTTGTTGTACCTGCCGTAGATCTATGCCTCCTTTTTGTATTGCCCCATGTTGACCTGCCAGGAGCTTACTCCCTTGCCACCCCTCACGCGCGGCCGTAGGCCGCGCTGGCGAGCGGCGGCCGCCTTCGGCGGCCGGCGCGAGCCGCTGGTTTTGGAGAGTAAACTGAACTCACCAGTGAATAATGAGCCCCATGGGCGGAGATCTAGGGGCTTTATACTAGGAAGAACAGGCTAAAAACGGCTAAGGACAGGAGACTAGGCTAGAGAGGCCTAAAAACGGCTGAGGACTGGAACTAGGCCATTCCTCTCTCTCTCTCTCGCTCTGTCTCGAACGAGCCGCTGGTTTTGGAGAGTAAACTGAACTCACCAGTGAATAATGAGCCCCATGGGCGGAGATCTAGGGGCTTTATACTAGGAAGAACAGGCTAAAAACGACTAAGGACAGGAGACTAGGCTAGAGAGGCCTAAAAACGGCTGAGGACTGGAACTAGGCCATTCCTCTCTCTCTCTCTCTCTCTCTCTCTCTCTCTCTCTCTCTCTCTCTCTCTCTCTCTCTCTCTCTCTCTCTCTCTCTCTCTCTCTCTCTCCTCTCTCTCCCGCTGGGTTAGAAGGAATGAACCCGCAGCTGAATAATGAGCCACAATACAAGACCAAGGGCCTTATATATTAGGGGTAGGGGTGGCTGAGCGGCCGAGAGGCTAAGGGACTAAGGGACTGTGCCTCTCTCTCTCTCTCTCTCTCTCTCTCTCTCTCTCTCTCTCTCTCTCTCTCTCTCTCTCTCTCTCTCTCTCTCTCTCTCTCTCAAGTAGTCATGTATTGATAGTGGTCATGAGGTACGGACATGGCAGGAGATGGCTGTAGCTAGTTTGTCTGGGCCTGTAGGCAGCCAGGAAACCTAAGAGCTAGCAAACAGAGCATGCAAGCGAACAGGCAAGCATATGGGCAAGCAAGGCAAGCCACGCAGTGCAAGCCAAGCGGGCATGCCGTTTGTGTACGGCCCTGTCCCCTAACATCTTAGCGGGCCGGCTAGCAGCAGAGCCAAAACCCCGAGTACCTCCCTCTCCTCCTGTCCTGTGGCTCCCCCTGACCCCACCCAAGTCCCCCTGCCCCCCCGGAGCTTCCTCTCACTTTCCTGCAGTCGCCGACTTTTCCCTCCTGCCCCTCTAAGCCGCCTTGGCAGGAGCCTCCCGCTCCTCATACTCATCCTCCGCCATCTGCCAGAGGTCCCCTAGCCGTGGGGCCCAGGGGTCTCCTGCAGCCTGCGGGAATGCCGCTTCGGCTGCTCGGTTGGACTTAGAGAGGAGTGAGATGGCTTGGCTGCGCTGCAGCATCACCGACCACCTCTGGCGGTAGTGTGCAGTGAGCCGAGCTGCCGTTGTTGTGAGGCGCCCCTGTCTGAACTTCGTCTTCGCCGCGTGGGTAGCCAGCATGCGAAGGAACTGGACTGTGTCTGCCACCATGGCCCCGTAGGTCTCGACAGCCAGTCCAAAGAATCCGGCATAGGTGGGGCGCCCTTCGTATAGCCGATGCTTCCGCTGTGAGGCTTCCTCCGCGGCCCACCCAGGCGGCCTGCGGGCCCTGCTGTCTCTATTCTGTAAAACTGGGTCTGTCACGGTGACATCCGTTACCCATGTCGCCCCCGACTCCTGGTCCCGTATTGCTAAGTCTGCCCGTTTCCTGAGGACTGGTGGTGAGAACGCTGAGGTCTCATGAAACGTTTTGTAGCCCGCCTCATTAGCAATCCGCAGCGCCGCATAGACTAGGGCGTTGTGGGTCCTGACGGCATCACCCCCGTCCTGGCAGCGCAGCAGGTGGTTCGGCAAACTCTTGTCCCCGATCGCCGCGTTGTCACGTTTGCACGGGCACACGTCAGCTACTGGCAACTCCATGCCCAGGCGTAGGCCCAAGGCCAACGAGAACTGACCAGGGGAAATAGAGAGGTCAGCTCTCGTCGGTACCGCATGTAGCCAGTCGCCCGCGCCAGTCCCTCTCAGGCTTATCAGTCTCAACGCGTGACCTCTGTTGGTGCCAGGCCTGTCCGCCACCGTGTCCCCCAGGAGCTCGACCGCCCGCTGCTGGTTGATTATCTTGGAGAGGCACAGCTGGAGGCTGCCTGTGCCCTTGTTCCCCGTCCTGTAGGCTCCTAGCGCCACCTGTGCCTGGGCTGGCAGCCCCTCCTCTAAGCTTGACAGTGTGCTGCTGTCCGGCGGTGGTGGGCTCCAATCGTGGGAGAGCAGGGCCGTTGCTCTGTGTAGCAGGCAGTCCGGAGGAAGATTCAGGTGCTGCAGAAGGATGTGCGCCACCGTGACAGAAGCGATGTAGGAGGCCGGGGCCTCAGAGACAGGGTCAATGATTCCCAGACCGCCCAGCCGAATCGGAAGGGTGGCCTGTCGCCACAGTAAGCTCTGCTCCAGCTCCGAGTTGGGGATGCGGAGCTTTGCAGCTGTGAGCACCGAGCCAACCAATGCCTCACTCCAGACCCTCCACTCCTCAGCGCCCAAGGTCGTCGCCGGCGTCGTCCTCAGCATGTATGAGATGCGCCGGGATATGCTGCGGGAGATTATGAGCATGGCATGTTGCGGTTTTAGCTGAGAGACAAGGGGAAGGGCGAGGCAGTTTCCCCCAGTGCCGCCCGGACTTGGGCAGTGCAGAAGTCGTCGCTGCCGATAGGGCTGCCAAGGACCCGTATCCCTCCCGGGTCCGCCACCAAGCCTAGTGGTAGCTCCCTGTTATCTCCGTCGTGCTCCGCTCCCCATGCCGATGACTTAGAAATGTTGCAGCGTAGTCCATATTCGGCCAAGTCGCCCGCTATCTTGGTGAAAGCACGGCACGCTGCTTCCCGTTGGCCGATAATGGTGATGTCGTCCGCGTAGGCTACCACTGCCACTTCCGGTGTTGTCGCCGAGACGCTCAAGAGGGCGGGCTGGATCGCTGCCGCAAACAAGAGAGGGCCCAAGGGATCTCCCTGTCTGACGCCACGTGTGCTCTGGATTTGGTCTACTCCCAGTCGAGCATCTACGAGCAGAGGCGATGGACCGTCGTACAGATTTCGGACCAGGGGAAGTAGCGGGCTCAGGTTGGACCACTACAGCGAGCTTAGGAAAGCCCTTCGCTCGACACTGTTGAAGGCATTTTCGATGTCTAGCTGGAGAGCGATGCGGGTCTTTTCCTCACGGAGTAGAGAGCGGACCGTGTGGATGATGCACTCCGCACCTCCTGGAACCGCCACTCCAAACTGAACTGGTAAGAAAAAATCCCTTATCTTGGGCCCCAGGGTATGAAGCGACGCCTTCGCCACTATGCGTAGCAGGGTTTCGCCTATCGCTATGGGCCGCACTCCCCCATTCGGCTTCTCTAGAGCGATCAGACGGGAAGGCAGTAGCAATTTCCTTACGTGGGAGGCCTGGAAAGTGAGAAACAACTGAGAAGAAAACCGAACAATGAAGAGAACTAGCTGCAGAGGAGCACTATATACTAGGCTGAAGAGTGCTGGAGAGGCTAAGGACTAGCTCCTAGGGCCTCTCTCTCTCTCTCTCTCTCTCTCTCTCTCTCTCTCTCTCTCTCTCTCTCTCTCTCTCTCTCTCTCTCTCTCTCTCTCTCTCTCTCTCCCGCTCGGTTAGGAGAAACAACTGAGAAGAAAACCGAACAATGAAGAGAACTAGCTGCAGAGGAGCACTATATACTAGGCTGAAGAGTGCTGGAGAGGCTAAGGACTAGCTCCTAGGGCCTCTCTCTCTCTCTCTCTCTCTCTCTCTCTCTCTCTCTCTCTCTCTCTCTCTCTCTCTCTCTCTCTCTCTCTCTCTCTCTCTCCCGCTCGGTTAGGAGAAACAACTGAGAAGAAAACCGAACAATGAAGAGAACTAGCTGCAGAGGAGCACTATATACTAGGCTGAAGAGTGCTGGAGAGGCTAAGGACTAGCTCCTAGGGCCTCTCTCTCTCTCTCTCTTCTCTCTCTCTCTCTCTCTCTCTCTCTCTCTCTCTCTCTCTCTCTCTCTCTCTCTCTCTCTCAAGCAGTCCTTCATTGATAGGTTCATAGGGGTACAGGCATGGCAAGAACAGGTGCAGAACATCCCTAGTACTAAGAGCAACCGGTAATGCTTGGCAGGGCTGAGGTAGGCACAACGGGTAGCCAGGCGAGCAAGTCCTCTGTGCCAGTAGGTCAGGGCCTTGAGGGCAAGGGAGGGGAGGCAAAACACACAGAACAGGCACACAAGGCAAGGCCAACCCGAGCAAGGCAAGCAAGGCAAGGCAAGGCAAGCAAACAAGGCGGGAGCCGGAAATGTATTCGGCTAACACTCAGCTAGACACCCATGCAATTGCTATCCCGCTCACTGACCCATCACCTCGTCCATCTCATCCTCCAGGACTTGCCAAAGATCCCCTAGGCTAGGTTCCCAGGGGTCCCTGGCCGCCTGTGAGAAGGCTGCCACGTCCCCTATGTTAGACTTGTTCAGGAATGACGAGGCCTGTGAGCGCTGTGGCATGACGCTGAAGCGCTGCGTGTAGTGAGCGGTGAGTCGAGCAGTGGTGGTGGTGAGCCTCCCCTGGCGGAACCTTCTCTTCGCCGTAGAGGTTGCTAACAAGCGGATGAACTGCTGTGTATCCGTAGCTAGGGCACCGTATGTTTCCACTGCCAACCCGAAGAAACCCACGTAGTCAGGCCGCCCCTCAAAGATCCTGTGTTTCCTCTCTGTTCCCTTCCCTTGCCGCCCATCCTGTGTTTCTCTCTCTCTCTCTCTCTCTAGCTCTCTCTCTCTCTCTCTCTCTCTCTCTCTCTCTCTCTCTCTCTCTCTCTCTCTCTCTCTCTTTTGTGGTTCGTGAGACCTTTGCGTGCCTACACCTGCACTCTGGTGTTCTCAGATGTGCCCAACCGGAGGTGCTCCACTAGGGCAGCCCCTTCGTTCGGCCGCTTTGGCCCTTGCTTTTTTTTTTTTCATGAGCCGCATGCTCTTCGGATGGCCATTTCCTGTAAGGT